AATCACAAAGAAAAATCAGGCAAGTTCTTTAAGAAAAAAAAAAGAAAAAGAAAAAAAGAAAAAAGAAGAAGAGGTCCGAAAAGTTGATGTTTTTTTTTTTTTCTTTTTTCACAGCAAAATGGATTTTATTAAGTGGAGTACAAGGTACTCTTATCCTTAGCACAAAAGAAACTGACATTGAGCATTTATGGACTACAACTTACTTTACTAAATCATCAATAGATTAAAAGAACTATAGTCAAATAGCTGTCCAATGAAGCCTTAATGAACCATCTATACACTTTTACATAAAAATGCAAGTCAATTTGTGCATACCCACCAGGGCGCCGCCATCCCTTACTCATGATTTTGAGGCAACGTCCCAAAAGGTAATGTTAATATGATTGGTTAGATCAAATGTTTTCTTTACCAATTATAATTTTTATGATATATATATTTAAAGCGTCGACGACCATTCCTTATAAAGTCTTTCGAACAAATTCACTTCACCGCGTTGATCATATTGACAAGGAAACATACTTAACTTCACTGAAAGGGATGGTAGAAAGGAAGGGTAATGATACGTGGACAAATTTTTGTTTTTATAATTTTTATATATAATTTAATATATCATTAACTAAGTAGAAGCACATAATATTGTAAGTTCTCATAAAATAAAAAGAACTAATAATTAAATATTATTTAAATTTTTTATGAAAAAATTAATTTAAAAAATCCTAAAAATGAATTAACAAGTATATATATTCTTTTTTCCATAAAAAAAGTATATATATTCTTTTAGGGTCTTTTTGGTTAGAGAATCACTCTTTTAGAAAAGTTTTTACTAAAAATGTAGTTAGAAAAGTATTATACAAAAAAATCGAAAGTATTATACAAAAAAATCGAAAGTATCATACAAAAAGTTCATAAGTTTTCTAATAAAACTTTGTTGGACTTTCGTTGGGTTATTAACTTTATTGTGTTTGGTAAGAAATTAATATAAAAAAAGTTAGTAGGAAAAGTTGTTAAATGAGATCAATATAAAGAAAATTATAGGAAAACTTTTTTCTTTCAAAATAGATAAAGAAAAAACTTTACGAGTTGAGAATTCTGTTTAAAAAAAAAAAGCTTAAAATGCCACTTTTACCTTTTCTTTGTTATAGTATTTGTTGAGTGAGAGAATCTCACAATCAAGTATAAAACAAAAAAGTATGTGGGTTAAATACAAAAAAAACTACTTCACCTATTACCAATTAATTTTAAGTTTGATACAAGATTTGTATTAAAGGCTACATGCTTAATTTCCACATGATATCACCCAAGAGAACTTGAACAAAAGCCTTGACACTAGAAGTTTCCTGCATTACTTTCCTCCAGTCCCCCACTAACCCCATCAAGGTATCGTTTCTTACTTCACTTCCTTTCGTTCCCATGCCCTTTGTCTCCTTTTTCTAATTAAAATTTTGTCTTCAATTAGTAATATTAAATTGTCTCTTTTATACATTTTTGAGGTGTATTGATTTTATTTTTATTTTGACCAGCAGAAGTAACGAGACCAGTATTCCTGTATTTTTCCCCAATGCCAGAAAAGTCTGCAACAATAAGAGCATAAATCTCTGCCATTTGTGTTTGATGCGCTTCAACTTTTGGATGGCGGGTGTTGGGGGATTGGCCCAACGTTACTGGCGAAACCCAAAAGGCATATAAAGGCCCAAAAGTGTATGGACAATAATCATGACACACCCACGTGGCTAAAGACAGGTGCACCAATGGAGCAATGACACCTAGAAGGATGGTAAGGAATGGGGAGCTATAAGTACCCCCAACTACCTCCATGCAAGGAAATTACTCCGCTACACTTCTCTCTCTATAATAACTCTTCTTAAGAACTTCTCTCTCTAGATTATAAAGTATTATTAACTTGAGCGTCGAAGTGTCTACCGTGAGAAAATATCCTCGAGTTTTTTAGGTATTGAAGCAATTCATGATCTCAATAGTGAAAGTTTGTGAAGCTACCCAAACATTTGGTGTTGTTTGTGGGAAACTGAACAAAACAGTTGTGTTGTTTTATCGGTCAAGCCAAGAATGGTGTGAACATTCATAGGTTTTCAGTCACCTCAAGTGAATCAAGGGAGCGATTAGGCCTTTTTCCTAGGAATTGACCCACATGGATTCGAACATCTACTCGACAATTTGTTCGTGGGTAGGGAAGATGAAGTATAAGACAACAATTTTGACGAAGAAAGAACCCTAACGGGCTATGTAACACAACCTGAAGGACTGGAGCAACAGACTCCACCGAGAGCTCGACCAGTTAGGTGAGCAACTTGAACATAACCTTTCATGCTTGTTGCACAAAATTCTGAGCTCTAAGAAATAATCATGATCTTGGAAATGGCTATGGGAGAAATAATCATGATCTTGGAAATGGCTATGGGAAAAATTCTATCACATCTTATACCGGATGATCCATTGATTCCTTTGTTAAATAAAGGTGAACAACAACTAAGAACTTCATCTCATCATTCCCCAGCGCTAAGCAATGTTGCCATACCCACTAAGCCTAGGGGAAGTGGATGACCTAATGTAGAACCTAGTTCGTCAAAGTCAAATGAAGAGTTGTTAAAGAATAATGTTAAACTTGAGAAACAATTAAAGGAAATTCAAAAATCAATTGATGAGCTAAAAACCCGAGGTTGAGGCTTCAAGCCCCAGACCCAGATAATGCATGTCTCAGCTTGCCAATCACATTAGAGCCTTATTAAGAAGGGTTTAAAATCCCCCATCTCGACACTTATGATAGGTCCGGTGACCTAGATGAACATTTACATACCTACCAAGCAATCACGAAGATATAGAATGCTTCAAATGCAATGATGTGTAAGGTGTTTCTAACTACTTTAAAGTCAACCACTAGAAGATGGTACCATAAGCTCTTGGGACACTCAATCACCTCATACTCCTAGCTTGCAACTTTATTTTCTAACAAATTTGCAAGCCAGAGGGAAATAAAATGCATAGCCACAGAGTTGATGCAAGTTCACCTAAAAGAAAGTGAATCCTTAAGAGATTATATGTGGAGATTTAATAAGGTGACTTTGGACATGGACAATGTTCTAGACACGATTTGCTTATTTGCCCTATTGTATAGACTGAGACCTAGTCGCTTCTTTAACAATCCTTGAAAACCCACCAAAGATATGGAATGAGGTTAATGACATGCGGGCGAGCTTTATCTTGTGATATTAAATATGTATAATATAATATTAAATATATATATTTATTTAATAATATAT